AACATTACATTAATTTCAAAATACATTACATTAATAAGATATTACATTAATTTTAAAATACATTACATAAACTACATTTAGATTTAATTTAATGCTTGTGAATAATGTTCCCAAATATGCTCCGTTAAATCATGTCGAAGTGAGTGATGCACCGATGAATCACGTAGTTCAGAGTTCATTTGAATCTGATATTGAATTTCTGCGGTAGGTCCTCGCTGCACACGTATTGGAGGATCAACATCATCATACCAATTAATATGTGTTTAGGTTTTAAGTTTTAAATTATTTGGTGTTTAAGCATTTCATTTTCTAGCTTTGGTACTTTTTAACTGATGTATTTTAGTCTCGTACTTTTTATTAAATGTATTTTAATTTCGTTTTATTTTCATTTTAATGTATTATTCCTTGTTTTTAGTAGATTTTTAAATTTGTTGGTAAAATTATATTTATAGATAATATATATATATATATATATATATATATATAATGTGGAAATCCATTAAACTCATTGGAGTGTTATGAAGTGTGGGTATAAAATGATAGAGTTGTATGATGAGTGAAATGCTGATGTGGCAGTCTATGACACTCTGGTAGAGTGTTATCCATTGGAAATGTCCTAAGAGTTAAAGAATAAAATATAAAAGACATTAAATATTTAAATGGACCAGAACGGGAAAATACAAGAAGTTAGGGGATGAATATGGAAATAGTTTTGGGGGATATGTGCATCAACGAAAAAGTACAAGGGCTAAGAGTGAAAAATGAAAATATATGGCCCATGCAGGTCTCGAACCTGCGACCTTCGCGTTATTAGCACGACGCTCTAACCAACTGAGCTAATAGGCCGATTGTGTTCTGTGTATGCATATATGTTTATTATGCGATTTATCTATTTGTTTATGGGTTTTTGATTCTCAGATGAAGCTCAAGATTGCACCAATGGATTCCATACGGGTACGAGAGAGAACAAATCAACGACTAGTGTTTCTGCAATTGATTTCTATGGCCAAGAAGTTCAGAGTCGACACTTGATGAATGATGATATCAAGGATAGATTTTGCTATCACAGAGCATCGATGGAAGCAGCTGTAATGCTCCATGGAATACGAAGAAGAACGAATTCACCCAACAAAACCCTTTTCCGATTTCTCCACATTAGAAGCAAAACCACAATTCCTCAACCCAATACGTTGATAACAAAACTGGGTACTTGTCTCCTCGTAGCTTCCATATCAAAATCGCTCTCTGAGCCTGGAGGTACTCGTAACCTTAACAATGGAGAATCGAGTCTGATTTCACTCTCTGAGGCACTCGTTCTTCAAATCCTCAGAAGAAGCTCTGTCGATGTATCGAAAAAAATCGGCTTTTTCAAGTGGTGTTCTCTCAGACATAACTACAAACACTCGGCGGGCACTTACTCTCAGATGCTTAAAACCCTATGTATAAACCCTGTGATTCATAAAGATGATATCTTTCACTTTCTTGACTCCATGGATCGAGAGGGTGTAGTTCTTGATTCGTCAACCTTCAAATTTCTCCTTGATTCTTTCATAAAGTCTGGTAATTTCCATTCTGCTCTTGAAATATTGGATCGTGTGGAGAATATATTGGATAACTTAAACCCTGATGCTTACAGCTCTGTTCTTATTGCCCTTGTTCGTAGTAATAACCTAAATATGGCTTTGTTTACATTCTTTAAGCTCTTGGATTCGGTTTCTGATAAAAATGAGAGTTTGGTTGATAATGCTGCTTGTAGTGAGTTGCTTGTGGAACTACGAAAGGCGGGTATGCAGGCAGAATTCAGAAATGTTTTTGATAAGTTGAGGGAAAAGAAGAAAATTTTCCCTGTGGACATTAAGGGTTATAATGTATGTATTCATGGGTTTGGTAATTGGGGGGAATTGGAAACATCATTGAATCTTTTCAAGGAGATGAAGGAAAAGAGCTTGAGACTGGGCAATTCGTTCGCTCCTGATTTGTGCACTTACAACAGTCTGATTCAAGCTCTTTGCTTCAAGGGGAAGGTGAAGGATGCTCTTATTGTTTGGGAGGAATTGAAAAGCTCCGGCCATGAACCAGATGCCTTCACTTATCGTATAATCATACAGGGATGCTGTAAATGTTACATGATGAACGATGCCACCAAGATCTTTAGTGAAATGCAGCATAATGGGTTTCGTCCAAATACTATTGTGTATAATTCTATGCTAGATGGGTTTCTGAAATCAGGAAAACTTATGGACGCATGCCAGTTGTTTGAGAAAATGGTTGATGATGGTGTTAGGGCTTCTTGTTGGACATACAATATATTGATAGATGGGTTGTTCAAGAACAGAAGAGGTCAAGCAGCATATGAATTGTTTAGAGATTTGAAGAAGAAAGGTCAGTTTGTGGATGGGATCACTTATTCGATTGTTATATTTCATATATGTCGAGAAGGACTGGTCGAAGAAGCTCTTGAATTGGTAGAAGAAATGGAAGCCAGAGGCTTTGTTGTTGATTTAGTTACAATAACCCATCTTTTGGTATCCATTAACAAACAAGGCCGAAAAGATTGGACTGAGAGACTCTTGAAGCATATTAGAAATGGTAATCTAATGCCAACCATTCTTAAATGGAAATCTAATATGGAAGCATCAATGAAATATCCCACAAGCAGAGAAAAAGATTTCACTTCTATGTTTCCTGGTAAGGGCGACTTTCATGAAATCTTGAATTTAATAAATTTAGCTGAATCAAACACAGATAGAAAACATTCTTTAAGAAAATGGACCATTGACCCTTGGTCCTCATCCCCATACATGGATCATTTGGCGGATGAACCAAAATCCAACATCCACCTACTGTCTTCTTCAAAAGGAAAGCGTGTTCAAGAAAAAGGTTTAGATTCGTTTGACATTAATATGGTGAATACCTATTTGTCTATATATCTAACCAAAGGAAAACTAAGCTTAGCCTGCAAGTTGTATGAGATTTTCACTGATTTGGGTGTTGATCCTGTGAATTATACTTATAATTCCCTAATGAGTTCATTGGTGAAGAAGGGTTATTTGAATGAGGCTTATGGAGTTCTTTCTGAAATGGTAGAAAAAGTCAGCGCAGCCGATGTGGCAACCTACAACATGATAATTCAGGCATTGGGGAAGATGGGACGGGCTGATCTGGCTAGTGCGGTTTTGAGGAAACTGACAGATGGAGGTTTTCTGGATATGGTGATGTATAATACTGTGATTAATGTATTGGGGAAGGGTGGAAGGTTGAAGGAGGTAAACATGGTTATTGAGCAGATGAAGAAGAGTGGAATAAATCCTGATGTTGTTACTTATAATACACTTATTGAAGTTCATAGTAAAGCAGGTAGATTAAAGGAAGCTCAGGAGTTCTTGAAGATGATGGTGGATGCAGGTTGTGCTCCAAATCATGTCACTGATACAACTCTGGAGTTTTTGGAGAAAGAGATAGAAAAACAGAAACAGAAAGCAAAACAAAGGTGAGTTCTTTTGATTTGTATTGATCCAAATATCGTCAAATGCCTTTGGTTGTGATTGGATGTTCTAAAAGCTTCTTTTAGTATAAAGTATCATCATCCATTTCTGTAATCAAAATGTCAGGGACTTAATGAAAACAGCCGTTCTATTCTACGGAATAAAGAACAAGTCTGCATACCTCTCACCCCTAGGCCACATCTCAGAATGAGATATGCTGGGTGGTGTCCTTTTGTTTTCTGTAATTAAAATACATAAAGCAAGAGTATTTTCATGGTTTTTTGTTTGCATGTCTTGATACATTTCTTTTTTATCAATCTCATATTATGACTATGCGTCACTATCACTATCTCTCAACTGCAAACATTCCTAATTTCTCTCCCTTCTCACTATCTCTCTACATATATATACAATCTTTCTGTGCCTTAATTTCAGTCATCTCACATCCCTCAGTTTCGACTAAATAAAACTCTCTCGAGCTCTCTATTGAGTGAAACTGGTCACATTTGCTAGACGGTGGTAGCAAACATCTTGACGAGTCTTTATTCTAACGAAAGAGAGACCAGTATGGTAAGAAAGTGATTAGTTCATTTTAATCGAGCGTAGGTCTTAAAAACCTGTAAGATTTTGGAATGGAGACCAGAGATGGCGGTGGTAGATTATCATGAACCGCTCCTTGGAGATTCTATGAATGATGATGGCGAAGACAAGACTATACGAACTGGTAAAAATACATTTTCGTCAATTTTATCGATTAGATGAATGGGCCTGAAGTGATTTTCTTGATTCTTGAAACCTGGCACACCATGAAGCACGATTGCGCACAATGCTGTGATTGGATTTGGCCTATTGTCGCTTGCATGGTTGATTCTCACCTCCTTTATCAGGTTTCTTTCACTTACCGATTCTCAGTTTCCTAAATTTGCTGATTGTGTTTGTTCTGCGAATATAATGTGTGATCTAATTGCAGCAAGGGGTTTATTATGCTCCTATGTTAGGGATGAAATGATACGAAGTTCAAGTGCCGGCTACTATGTCCTTTTCACACTAACAATTGTTTCTTCAATTGGAAGTGCATGCTTGTTTGTTTAAGAATTCTTATCATTGCAGCAACAATCTGTTCTTGACAAATGTTCTTGTATACGACACTTTGGTGCATTCTTGTTTGTTTGGTTATGATAAGGAGTTCGGTTGGTGCAAGGCTGGTACTGGTGGTGTCTCTCTTGGGATTTCTTTTTTGGAAGATGATTGGTTGGAGAGTTTTTATAGAGCTCAGAAGGTTGTGCATATGAGAATCCTTGGGTTAGGGATATCTGTTGCTCCATTTATGTTGGAGTAGGTTATATGATGATTCGTTGTTTCGGAAGTTATGTTGGTGTATTGCTACTTTTGTGATGTGGGTTTTATGTTTGGATTAAAGATGGTTTGGATGCTGTTTCATCAGTTTCTGATATGGCTGTGTTTCTATCAAGCATTTGGATTTGGAAGATGAGAGATGCTAGGTAGGGGTTGGGCTTTCTTTTAGTAATGGTAGGAGTGATCTGATCTGATTGATGTTAGTAATGTTAAAAGAATGGATTGTGATTTGTAATTGTTTTTAAGAATGATCTGGGCCATAACATGAGGCCTTTGTTGGTCTTTTCTTTTTCCAAACACTTCCGTAGTGATGGCCAAACCGGCCCACTAAACCGGTTATAGGACCGAAATCTGGGACCGGTTATGGATTTTGGGTGTTTCGCGGGACCAAGACCGGTTATGGACCGGCCTAGCCTGGACCGATTTTTAAAAAAATGTAGCTGTTTTTTAAAAAAAAATGTAACTGTTATTTTTCAAAAAACTAGCCGTTTATCACTGTTTTTTGGCTTTTTTTTTTTTTGTATTTTTGGCCTTCTAAACACTATATATAAGTGTCTTGGTTGAGGGGTTAACATACCACGTTCTCGATTCGCAAAAAACGCAAAAAAAAAAAAAAAAAAACGTTTATAATTCTTGGTTTCTAGCTATATTTTGTAAGACAATGTAATTTTAATTATAATAAAACGTATTTTTAAAGTGTATTTGAGTGACTAAATTACAAATTTTATAATGTATTAAAAATATATATCATTAAAAAAATTATTATTTTTTGATGACCAAGACCGGTTGGACCGGGACCGGTGGCTCATAGCCAGTTACAATAAAGTTTGACCGGGCTCACTAACCGGACCGATTATGACCGGATCTGTTGAGGCTCGGGACTGGTAAGGACCGACCTGGCCCCGAACTGGTTTTTGGCCATTATTATTGATAGGTGTTACCTTTTAAAAAAAGGGTATATTCCTATTTAAATTTTGTACTTGGTTAAGTTCTCAATAAAGTTTTCCTGACACAAAAAAATGCATTTTTGAATTTGGCTGGGGTTGCAGTTGCAGTACATATTCTCACACAAGTTGCCCACGCCTATTCTTCCAAATAGCCCAATCACGACCATCGTTAATATCAAGCTGAGTGGTCTGTCCATCACCATTCGTTAATATCAATGACGTCGTAAACCATAGCTTTGTGGTTGAAACAATCCTGAATTATCATTCAAACTGAGACAATACTACAAATTGGTAGCTAAACCAAGCAGAAGCAATCCGTCTGTCAAACCCATAGGATACTCTTCACAAGCTCCAACAGTCTGTACCAAAACCACCATATTTGAAGGGCTGCTATTTTTTTTTTCCTTAGAATGCAACGGCACCTTGACTACACATGTACGTCCATCGAAATCAAAGTATATCATGAATGAATTTACGAGTCTCCATCAATGCTTTATGAAAGCAAAAATCTTGGATACCATCGTTCGTCAAATATCGAAATCTGAATTTCTTGGCCATAGAAATGAATTGCAGAAACACTGGTTGTTGATTTTGAAGGAATCCATTGTTGCATCTTGAGCTTTATTTGATCATAAATAAATAAAAGTTTACAGAATAATAAAAATATATACATGAAAGGAGCACAATTGGCCTATTAGCTCAGTTGGTTAGAGCGTCGTGCTAATAACGCGAAGGTCGCAGGTTCGAGACCTGCATAGGCCATCAGAGTTTTATTTAAATTCATATTTTACTCTTTTGCCCTTATACTATTGTCATTGATGCACATATCCCCCCCCCCCCAAAAACTATTTTCATATTCATCCCCGAACTTTTTTAAAGTGTGATTTTAGGGTCCTATCAATTAGATGATAGCTTTTTAATACTCTTTTGCCCTTATACTATTTACATAATGTACCCCAAACTACTTCCATGTTTCCATTTTCATCCCCTAACTGCTTTAAAGTATCGGTTTGATTTTGTTTTTATAATTCAAACATTATGTTGTTGTTATTGTTTTAGTATTTTCTCCAAATTTATTAAATTTGATCGTATAACTTATGAGTTTAAAATTTTCATTTTACAAAAAACTAAACTTGATAATGTATTGTTGAGAGTTAAATTTGTAATTCAAATTGTTTATTCATAACAAAAAAAATATTAGTTTAGGTGACAACTTAGGGGTTGTTTGTTTACCTCTTAATAGTTCCATTAAGAGGCAACATCTGAATCGTTAAGAAGTAAATCTTGTTTGTAAAAAAAAAAGTTTGTCTCTTAATGGTTCTAAAATCTTTTGAATGACTTTGTATCATCGACCTCCCTTAACCATTAAGAGCCTTAATTTCATTGTAAACATTTACCAAACAATTATATTTCATTTTACACTATATCATGAGAAGTCTTTTAATCATTTTGACTACTTAATGATTCTGCATAAAACCATTCAGCAACTACCAAACAGCCCCTTATTCACTATAGTTAGCTTATGTCATACGATTAAAAGGAACAATCTCAAATCGACCAAGATTCAAGTCCGGGTCATTTCTTGGTGACCTGATTTGCCATAATCTCTTCGATCCCTTCATTTATGTGACAAAATAACGAGTGATTTGGTAGGAAAGCAGAAGAGGGTTCTAATTTGCTACTTCCAAGAGAGATTATGAAAAAGTAACATGAGTGGATAACTGTCACAAAAAACGTTACAATAACCGCATACGAGTTACTTCTTGTAGTTTTGAGAAAGGGGATGATTCATGGTTTCACAAGTAAACCGCAAATAGAAATGATGAAATCTTGTTGACCATGTTAATTATGATTTGAAACGATCGGTTTCTTTATAAAAAGATTTTTTCATAAGTCAACCAAACAATGACTTTTGAGAAATTGTGGGTGACAGTTTTTAGGCATGGCCTTACGGACATAAATTGTATCATGTGTTTTTTTCTTCGTATTTTTAGTTATGGATAAAATTATGTACCGTTGCAAGTATTAGCAACATAGACAGTAACGGAACACATGTCTTTTAACCAGGGTGGCCGTACTCAAGAAGAAGTGAAAAAAGTAAATCTTTAACGTAGTGAACTAAGTTTTACCTACCTAAAAGATAAAAAATCGTAAAGGCCCTGCCCCCAATTGCCCCTATACACCTCTGTCCCTGAACATAGAGACTTCACTTACAAACTCTAGAGAGGGTGAATAGGTATTATAAACCTTCTACGATTTTTGTCGGTTTTTTCATCCGTGGAAGTGTAATAATAATTAACAAATCTCAACATACATAACGCATATTGTATATCAAATAAAGAGTTTAAAAAAACAAGATTTACATTGTAATCTAATTTGTTTTGGACCTCTAACTCCTACTTTCACTACTTTGAAAAACTTCGAGAGAGTAATTTATTAAAAAACCACTGCTCTTCAATGAGTCGTTTTTCAAATGGTATTCCATTTGATTCTTATGCTAGAGTTGCACATAGATCGGTCCAAGACAATCCAGTTTGGTTAACTTTGTTCGGTTTAGTGTGGGCCAATCCGACTAAGGACCAATAACCTAACCTCGTTTAAGGTCTGTTATGTATTGGTCTCGGCAATTTTACTCCAATATTCTTATTTTGATTCGATATAATATGTTTTACTCATTATTAATTTATCATAATTATTACTTTTAAATTTCTATAAGCGTTATAAATTTACAAACTGAATACATAATAATTATACGTTGAAAGTTTTATGAAAAAACAAACTTGTTTCATGTACTGTCTTGTATATAAAAACAACACATTTGAAAATCAACTCGTGAAATACACCAAAACCATCTACTGAGTTTGATTTTAAACTATGATTTTTTTATTAATTCACATGTTTTATTCTTATGTGTGAATATGAGTGTGTTTCATGTATAGGCAAGAGATCGTGTGAGAAAGAGAGTTAAGATGAGAGGCGTAAGAAGGGATATGGATCCTTGATCACCTTTAATCTCAAACTCACCAATTAATCATTCTTGTTGTAGGGATTGATCTGACGCATCTCAATGCATCTCATCCTAATATGCTGCCAAGGGTAGAGATCCCTTACGCTTCTCATCTTAACTCCCATTCTCACGGAACCCAAACCTTCATGTATAAACATTTTTTTTTCACAAAACATTATTTGATGTTTCATCTATGAAATAACAATGTATTAACACTGTATTTTCACATGTAATGCTTCAACTATTAAACACCACATACAAACTTTGTTTTTAATTTTTTATAACTTTTATACAGTTTCTATATGATTTGCCTATATATACCCCCCCACCATACACACACACACACACACACACACACACATATATATATATATGTGTGTGTGTGTGTGTGAACCATCCCCTGTACATTAGACCAACCCCTAACCAGCTTCATTCATAATTATATCATAATTTCAACTGTAATTTAATTTCTTATTTGGACGAACCTTCAACTTTCTTTTTTGAGTTTATTAGCCTTATTTGTATATTCTCATCTTGACTTTACTTCATTTAAACACAATCTCTTAACTAGATTGCAAATTAATGTACCAAAGCTTCAACCCGACCAAGCCAAGCCAATCTAACCCGCATGGTTTAAATTGGTTGGGATTTTTCAAATTGCAAACACTGGGTTGAGTTGTTCAAAACTTTCAACCTGGAAAATCCAACCCGTGTGCAGCCTTAAGGAGGAGGACCCCCCGAGAGGGGAATATTTTATTTTTCACTAAATTTTTTAAATGACCGATCCGAATGATGCTTTTCCAGTCCAAAAATGGGACTTCGTTCGGTCCTTTTTTTAACTAATTTGTTTTTCTCCTGTCAGCCTAGAAAATGTTACATCTAATTACTAACTATCAGTT